TAAATTACACCGGTAGGTATAATAATAATTATGCCCCCGCCCCCACACTTAATGCAGTCCGGAAAATGCTGCCCCACGAAAGATTCGCGTGGGCAGGGAAAATCGGGAAAATGTAATCTGGGTCATAGGAGGAAAGACGTCAATTGTTACGTACCGTAGCGGGATTCGGGTTAGTGGGTCAGTGCGAGGGAATGGCGGGGCGGCGGGGGCGGGGGGCGGCGATTATTAAAACGACCATTTCCGACGTCGGGGGCGGCAAAATATGATCAGCTTTAAATTTCGAACCGCCGAGGTTTAAGATGAATTCTTGTTGAATTTAAAGCTGCCCACATTAGATCACTTGTTGGCAATATTAGGTATTTTTTAAATATCAAAGACACCATACTACTTCTATTAAAGATATAATACGCCAGATATACGAATAAAACATATTGCTAACAATAAAGGGTGTCCATTCATACATGGAAATTTTGAAAAAATCGACTCTATACTACTCACTTTAACAGATTTAATAGAACTTCAGATTCATATTTAAAGAACAGACATTAGAACTATTTCAAAAATATCTAATATCGCCAACAAATGATCTACTGTGGGCAGTTTTAAATTCAACAAGAATCTATACGAATATCTCAAAAAGTAGTGATTGATTGATTTGATTGAGTAGTGCATCACCTCCTTAGTCTAAGGTTAAATTTTTGTTGCAATAGCTGGATAGGTAACGTCACAACACAATTTTATATAGAGCAATCAAAATATGAAAAAAAAAAACACATAACCTCAATTTCTGCCTAAACTATGCAAAATTCGAATAGGAATTTCTTAAGAAAGTGACCTTTATTTTAACCAAGGATTCCAAAAATGACGATATATACAGAGTTTTCCATTTAAAATAACAAAGGTGATGTCGGAGTGGAAACTTTTGGGACACCCTGTATCAACAAAATTATAATATTTTAAATCTTCAGGAGAGTCCAAGAATATTTTGTAAGATACTTTTTTTCGTATCTTCTGTGGGTTTCCAGATCGTATAGTGGATCGTTTTATTTGGTACACGGTGTACAGATTGTCCTAGGTTGGGATCTCGGAAATCGTAAGAAATACGAAGTCGGTTAAATAGGGGCAAAGTTGCCCTTTTTGGTGCTTAATTTAAAACCGGCAAAACTCGGAAATTTGCAATTCCTTTTTTTCCTAGCCTTAATTCAAAATGTGTGAAAACAAATGGCATTTTCTCCTTGCAGCTTTGTCACTCTTAGAAGTTAGCATTAGTAGTTATAAGTATGACATTTTAATGTTCATGATTTTATTTTAAATACAGACCTGTATATTTTGTTTAACATTTTGAAAGAGCTCGTCGTTCTGAGAAAATACATGTATCACATATCACATCATTTACTAGACAATACCGCCCTAAAATAGACAATAAAGCGGAATTTACACATAGGCGGCTATGAAACAAAAACATGTACATATGTCAAACAGTCTTGACATAGATGTTACTTACTAAAGTGCCAGTTACCTTTTACTGTTGTATTTAATCGTATACTTTGCACTAAAAAAAATGTTGTCAAATGTGAAAAAGCGCTATAAGTATTTATTACATTTCACTCAGAAATTTTACAATTGCCTAAATCAATATCTCATGCCATGACATAACGCTTTCGTTTCATGGCCACCTTATTTATTATGTAAATTTGGCTTTATTGTCAAATATGGGACTTTTTTTTTTAGTAAATCGATTATACATACAAGCTCACTCAAAAAGCTAAATAAAAAATCACGTAATTGCAATGGAAAAGTGTCATTTGTTTTCTTTTTTTTTTAATTAGGGCCGGGAAAAATTCAAATGAAATTTCTGATTTTCGATTTTTGAAATTTTGAAAATGGGCCTCTATTTAACGGACTTGGGATTTGGGACAACCTATACTGCTACTTAATGTAGCAATCTATTAAAAGCAATAAAAAAAAAATGACAAAATCAAATACAATGCTCTAAAATACAAAACTACTGTACTATCCAAAACTAAAAGACATAAAAAACTTCTTAATTTCTTTTTTCGCAATAAATGATTTAAGCTAACTACTTCATAAACTTTTATTTCCACGATCAATCACTTTTTCGATTAATATTTTAAGTTAACAGTGAATTCCGGTTCAATAACTTTTGTCTATAAAATTTATCGAATGTTTAATTTGAATTTATATGACTCGAGCGCCATCTACCTCGAGATTTATGAAAAGTCCAGTGAATTATGCGGAAAGTACGTCATCTGCTTACTATTTACAATTTTTTTTTTGTTTCTCGTTGTTGACACTTTGAAGTTGTAGTGAAATCTTCTTAGGTTTTTATTTTTGCAGCAAAATAGGCGCATATAAAAAAATTTAGTCTTACCTATAATCTTGGGCAATAGTAGGCAAAGTAGAAACAGAAATTATTAGTGTAACACGCTTTTTAATCGAAAACGAGGCAAAAATATGTCACAAAAAACATAATAATAATAAAACTAAAAACAATCATTTTCATTATTTATAAATAAACACACGAGAAATAATTGGAGGACCTCCGTATTATAATCGCAAAGATAGCACAATATTTTTGGACCACCGTGTAAGATGCGTGCGTATTTATAGATGAGTCACGTACAAAGACTGTTTAGTCTGGAAGTCAGTACAAAGAGAACTTTTACTTGCGAATGACTTTTGGCTCGAATTTTTCTCTCACCAAAAACTACGTACCGCTCATGAAAAATTCAATACGGAACCAAGGCAATTACGCGGCAATTACCAAATTATTGGAAATATGCTGGAAATTATCGATATTTCAGAGCCACATTTGGTTGGGTTTTTTGTAGACCTTCACTATTTGCTTAGTCAACACTTAAAGCTTAAAAGCTTAAAACTTTTGCAGTTACGTTAGGGTTTTCACAAAAAAGATGGGCGAGTTTCAATTTGCTTTGAACAATCAAAAAATGACAGTCCCGCTTTATTCCAGTTTAAAAAAAATGACAATATAAGCCTTAAACCAGCTTAGGTAATTTAAAGAAGAAGTATGACGCGTCCTTAAAAATCAACGAAAGCAAATGACGTCACAATGATCCGCACATGACGCAGCCAGCAGACAACCTGATATACTACAAGCCAACCTTAAGGTGCGACGTTGACATTTGACTGTCTAGTATTATTATAATGTAAATGGTTTTCAAATTAAAATCAACCATATTGACCGTACCTGCATCAACTGGCGTCAAACGCGAGCGATACATACATCAACCAGCAAGGCGATATATGTTTTGCAACACACAAACAACAATTACCGTTGCATATTTCTTAGATAAAAGTCAACAAAACTACATGTTATTTAAATGGGTAACAATTATTCCGTCCCAGACAAAAGCTGCGCAAGCGCCTGCGAGCTCGATAAACAGACCCCTATTACACCTGTACACTTGAACCTGACCTATTATGGAACTAGATCCACCTAGGGCACTGGGAAACTGGCAAGCGACAGCGACCGCGTTCGGATCTTGGCAAATAATGCGGTATCGATTACAACTATGCAAATCGATCGCGTAGTTTTTCGTTATTTGCAGAGTTAAAAGGCGACAGGGGCGTAACCCGGGTCAAGGGAAACACAATGGGTTCCACTTCCTCGCCCGCAACTACGAAAATCATAACCAAACAATGGCACGGCAAATTGTGTAACGAATAATCGAAATCGTTTCGTTGTCGGTTTCGCTTTCGATCGCAACTTTCTCGCTCGTCCATAGTAATTGCAACGCAAAGTGAATCTAGTAATAATTTGCATGAGAACTGGTTACCTACTGGTTTGCGCATTAAAAAATAGTTCGCCGCATATAACCTGCAAATTCGAACGGAATTTGTGTATATACCTGAATTCGTGGTCGTAATTGTCGAAAAAGGCACTTGCAATTCAATGTTGTCATTGTCCGTATTTACGTCCAAATCGACGTCCGACGTGACCACCGAAAGAGTCGATGTGCCGTTTTCTTCCTGTGCAATCGTAGAAACGGCAACAGAGCTAGGAACGCTCAGACTCGTCGTTTCGTCGTGCATATTGTTTACGCGATTTCCCACTTATCACGCAATGATATCCGGAAAAAATCGCGCCCCAGAGCCTTACGAAGCTCTGACCTTCGAATTCGCGCCAAAGTTTCACAAATATCTATTTCTTTTAACAATACAAAAATCGAACGCTGTCGAAATGTAGGTCTCTAGGCCACTTCTCTTACACTTTGCAGTGACTTCAGACAGACATGGTCTGGTCTGTCAAACGAGCAACTGGTTTCATAACGATTTTTTTGCCGTTTTAATTAATTGTCACGGCGAATTGGTCGTGAACGTCTTATCGAAAAAAATTACGCGCACTGGGAAAATTATTATTATAATTTTAAACAAATTCGTTAATTTAGCTTTCGGTAAAGCGAGCCCGTCGAATTGCGGTTAAGCTCGTTTCGACGCCAGCGCCCCATATAATTTGACTTAATTCTCGAGCAACTGTCATAACGTTATTTAACAAATTTTTCTATTACAAAAAACAATCTAATCGTCATACTCCGTCCTTATCCCGGAAGGAAAATTCGTGCCGCGTCCTTGTCTGGCACGTGTTGCATTTACATCCTGAATTGTGTGCTCACACAAAGCCTCGGCCCGCCAAATTCAAAAGTGTTCATAAATGGTGTTTACTTTGACTTGTTTTTTTGTGACCTCACGTAAGTTAAAATTGTTGGCCGCCATCTAGATTTATACCGAAATATCTCTTACGCGTTGGGCGACCTAGTTGTAGTTAAATTGCCCCAAGACATTTGATATTTTCTTTTGAACCTCGACAAAACCAAAAAAAATGCGGAGAGTTCCTTTTTCAGGGTCAAAATGTTTAAATGAAACAGCAATAGAGACGCTGTTAGTGATGTGTCAATTAGTTTAACCTTTTCCTGTAGCTATTGTTTGGTTCTCTAAATACATTTCAATGCTGGTGAGTTTTTAAAGTTTTATTACCAATTTACTTAAATAAAATCCTTTATTGTAATTATAAGACAAAAATTATCAACAATATTGTATAAAAATCTGTTTGGCCGCATATATTGGCTATAACTGCCCCAGTAGGGAATTTCGTTTTTTCACATAATTGTTACACGAAAGCAGCCTTTTTTTAACTTCATGCTTTTGCTTTATCCAAAATGGCTCTGGACACGATGAGCCTTTGAATCTGAGACGTTCCTTCATAGATCTGGAACAGTTTCGCGTCTCGCAGAAGTTTTTCTACCGGATAGTCTGTGTTGTATCCGTTTCCACCGAAAATCTACAACAAGCATTTTACTGCAAGGACATTTTAGAAGAAGATATTACTAAAATTTAAAATTGCAAAGGTTATACGAAGGTCACCCTTGTCAGTTGCAAACTAAAATGAAAGCCATTGAAAAATAATTAAATAATCTTTAATCTATGAGGATAATAATAAATGTTGTCAACTAACCTGTACAGCATCAGAGGCACATCGATTCGCCATGTCTGAGGCGTGACATTTGGCTATAGAAGCCGCGTAACTGTTCCTAATGCCCCTGTCTGTTTCCCAGGCGGATTTCATCCAGGCTAACCTACCCGTTTCGATGCCAATAGCCATATCGGCCAGCATAAAAGCTACTGCTTGATGGTTGGCGATCCGGGTACCAAAAGCTTTACGTTCCAACGAATATTTGGCTGCCTCGTCCAGACACCTCTGAGCCAAACCGACCGCGCATGCAGCCACCTATTTATGTCACTATTTGATTTGCATCTTGGTCTTTTTAAAATCAACACTCACTGGTGGTCGGGTTTTATCAAACGTTTCCATGGCGATTTTGAATCCAGCCCCTTCCCCGACAAGCACGTTTTCTTTTGGAATACGTACGTCTTCGAAGGTGATTCCGCGGGTATCGGACGCCCTTTGGCCCATATTTATTTCCTTTCTACCCGGGGTAACCCCAGGCCAATCCCTTTCCACTATAAAGCCCGTGAAAGCTTTTCCTGCAGGACATTTGGGATCTGGATTGGTTCTTGCCAGCAAGAAATACCTACATTTCAGCGTTTAAATCCTAGGTGACTACATAAAATTAATAATAATGGCGATTTAACGAACCAGTTGGCGATGCCCCCACCCGTGATCCACATTTTTTGGCCATTTAATATATATTCGTCTCCTTTCTTTTCCGCTCTCGTTTTAAGACCGCTAACGTCGGAACCCGCTCCTGGTTCCGTGACGCAATAAGCCGCCATCAAAGGTTCATCAAGGAGCCTGCCCAAGTATTTTTTCTGTTGCTCTTTATTTCCAGCAATCAGGATTGGGGTTTGCTAAAATGTACCGTCAAAAGAGAGGTTAGATGTCACCTTGAAAATATTTACACCAAGAGAAGTACCCTCGATGGCTGTGGCAATACCTGTGCACCCATAACCGATTTCTTCAATAATCAAACATCCATCAAATACACTCAAGCCCAAACCTCCTAAAAGTGCAAATCTCCATCACTAAACGGTCAAACCAATTATCATGTAATTCTTTACCCAGTTCCTGAGGAATGTGGCCATTCATGAGACCCAAAGAATGAGCTTTCTTAACTAAATCCCAAGGATACTTTCCAGTCTTGTCATATTCAGGAGCCAGCGGAATTATCTCTTCCCTTGTGAATTTTCGCGCCAGCTCTTGCAATTCTTTTTGGGTTTCATTAAGCTCTAAGAAAGAAAAAATCAGTGGATGATTTTTTTTGATAATTTAGTTTTTTTACCAAAATTGTAACCATTCCGATGACCTGTGCTGTTGTACCTCTGCACAAAAGTTGTTGGTCTTAATCCTATTTTTTGCAACAATCTTGGAATCTTCAAAAAAATTAAAATTAAAAAGCAATCGTCAAACAGGAACACTGTCTTACCTGTTTTGCCATTTTAAAGCAGGACACTTAATGACGGAGGCGAGCTTTCAGAATATTTAAGGGAATGATAAATCAAAAGAGGTGTGTTAAATCAAAATCGTTAGGAAAGTGCAAAGTAACAAAAACCAGTGTTCGACCTTTGGACGCTGATATGGACTTTTAACTCTCTCCTACCACGTAAATAAATATAAATAGGTATTTTTTTCGTATTTATCAAAACACTTCAACTTCGAGTTAGTTAAAACTACACACAAATAATTGCCATATGAAATAATAAAACTGTGTTAAATATATGATAAATCTATTTTCATAATTTGTTCTTGCTAGTTGTAAAGTAACACAAAATTAAATCTAAAAGTTTTACCGACCACGGAACAAAATAAGTTTTGGTTAGTTATTTGTAGGATGATAAAACAGATTGTTCATACATTCAATTATTTTAGGTGACAGATAAAACATTCTTATTGGTTATTTTGTTTAGTTTGGTGTTTTGTTTTTGCAAAAATTGTAACTAGTTTATAACGTCATAGCATTTGCAATTTCTGTGCCCATGTAAGACATTCTTTGATGGGGATTCTGTGGTGGAACATTGCACGGCGGGTTAACCTCTTTTCGCTCCTAGCAGAATCCGTTGTATTCGTCCTAAAACCTTGGTGACGGTCTTTTTTCGTGTGACTCTGTTTCGGTAGTGTTTGGTGTTTGTTTTCAAGTGTTTACGTTCTGCTGTTTTAACGGTTGAAATGCCAGGGAAGGGGGGAGACCGGGGTTTTTGGTATCGGTCAAAGAACAAATGTAGGTTAAATTTTTTTACGTATTGGTCTATGGTCGAAAGAAAAATCCACGACGGAAGTGGGTAATGGGCGAATGACCTTAGTTATTTTGCTTACTTTAAAGAAAAGCAAAGATAAGAAGAAGACATTCTTTGATACTGTAACTTTTAAACTTTCTTTTTTTTCGTGCTTTTTTGATAGTTTCTGAGTTTAGGGGTAGAAGCACATATAGGGATGTTCCGATACCATTAAAGTATTGATACCGACTAATTTCGATAGTACTCAAATATTTTTTCGATACTACTTCTAAAGTATCGATACTTACTCATATCGATACTTTTAGCATTTTATTATTTTTTTTATTTATTTTAAGGAAACTAACAATGAACGTTGAAGGACAATAATTAAAACAAAATTAAGAAGGAAAAGAAAACTTTTATTATAAAGGTTTGCGTCACGTTAAGCACGTACTTTAAACAAAAACTTCATGATAAGATTGGAATAATAAGCCGATGATTACAATAAATAAAATTATTCGTAAGCAATCTTTTGTATGTTTGACTGACAATTTATGTTGGTTGACCGTGAACAAAAAATGAAGGGTGGACGTCTTTCTCGCTTTTGGCTCGGGCTCGGTCGAGTGAAGTCGGACGAGTACGTTTTTTTTTTAATGGTGAGGCTGATTCCATTTAATACCAAGTACTTTTGTTTCGATTCAGAGTAAGTGTCGCAAGATTGATTCGATGCTATAAATACTTAGTATCGAATCAAAAGTATCGAGTACCTACTCGTCTTTACTAGTATCGGAATATCTCTAAGCACATAGAGTAATTAATTCCGCCACACTCTCCTCCTTTATTTTCGTTAAAATACCCACACGGTCAGAAATATTAATTTCATATAAACATATTTTGCATTGCTCCATCATTTTATTAAAAAACGTGAGAAACAGTTAGCTTGTTTATGTTTTTGATAACTAAATGATTTTCATAGCCCAAAACAACTTTTCTTCTTTTTTCGGTTAATTTCACTTGGCCAAGTTAACTAACGTTCATTCGGCCATTAGAAATTTATAACAGCATTCATGAAGAATGCTAGATTCAATCTTTCAATTTTTGAGACTACTACTAAAACAACTGGCTCTAGCAGATTGCCCTATTATGTAAAGATGTTGATTATCGATATATATCACAGCATTTTAAGTGCCATAATTTTCGGAATTTCCACATGAAGAGGTAACGAGGAAAAAGCAAATTAGGTCATCTTTCTATTTAGGGTTTCCAAGTAACAACAAAATTGAAAGTACTCAAAATAAATTTATTTTAGCAGTAAAATTAAAATTGGATTATATTACAGGAGAATTACTATTATTGCATATTAAATCATCATTGAACTTTTGCTTTAGATGGGTTTGAAGATGAGACAAAAGATTATGTTTATACCTAAAACTCTTCATGCAATGATCACACTCAAAAGGTTTGGCATCTGAGTGGATTTTCATGTGCGTTTTGAGAGAGGAGTTTTGATTAAACGCTTTGTTGCATATCTAAAAACATAAAATGGTGATGCAGTTCACACGGTGAATAAGCATTAGGGGATTGTGTCCTTACTTCGCAAGAGAAAGGTTTTTCACCACTGTGGATTAGCAGGTGCTTTTTTCTACTAGAGCTGCATGTAAAGCCTTTACCACACTGATCACATACAAACCGTTTAATGCCATCTTCTTTTTCTTGATGTCTACGTAAGTGCGCTTTTAAGACCCTACTGCTGTACATGTTGTTACAAATCGGACATGGTTCTTTCTTTAAGAAAATAAAGGTAAGATAGGAACATATTCAAAATTATTTGAGAAAATTAATTTACTTACACTTTGGTGCACATCTTGTTTGTGTGTCAAAAGGGAACTGCCACTTATGAAAGTGCTGCTGCAAATTTCACACATGTAAGGTCTCTCTCCGGTATGAATTCTTCTTACATGTATTACAAGAGATTGAGATTGTATGAAAGATTCAGGGCATAAAGTACATTTAAATTTACGTTCTCCATTGTGTATTTTCTTATGTATATAATAGTTGCTGGGAGTCCTGCAAAACATTTTATGATATTTGTATTAATTTTTATAGGAATGGTTTACTGTAATCGCAGACATATGCCAAGTAAAACCCCACGCAAATAAAAAAATCTATTTTCAAACTAATAAACCATTTTTAAACTCTTTTATCAATATATTTATAGCTTTAATTTATTTTTTCCTGTGACTGTACACGAAATTTGAAAGTGCACTTACGCAAAAGATTTACAACAAATATCACATGTATGTGGTTTTTCCCCCGTGTGAATTCTCCTATGGTACACCAAAGAATAACTTCTGGCAAATTTTTTTTGGCAATATTCACAGGCATATTTTTTTTCCCCAGTATGTTTGGTCATATGAGTGTTGTAATGATCCGCTTTTTTGTAAACTTTATTACATGCCTTGCATTCATAAACTCTCTTGACATGGGTCGACCTTTGTTGTTTGTCATTATTAGTTTGTTGGTATAAATTATGTGGTTCCAAGATACTACTAGACTTTTCAGGGTTGGAATGGTTGAGGTTGTTGAAATCTTTTTCACATTCATCATGAGAATCAATTTGACCACTTACTTCTTCAATTTGACATGCCGGAAATGATTGGGATAACTTTTTTTTTAATGCTACATCGGAATTTATTATTGTATTTCTAAATTCACGAAAATCTTTAAGTTTTACAAAACACTCGGCGCACACGACTTTTGGCAACATGTCCTCTTCGAAAATCTAAAAGTAGCAATTTATTGAATATGTAATTTTAACTGGCCGCATAGGGATTACTTTAATAGAGGCGCAAAGAATTATTAATTCCAATACTGTTTCATCGACAACCTTCGTCGAAATACTGACTTGGTCCAGTTTCTCAATTTGAGTTAAACATATTCTGCAATGATCCGTCATTTTGTTTATTTATTTCCAGTAATTTTTTTTATTATATCTGCTTATTGGTTTAGACCTGTGTACCTGATCTTAAGGTTGGTCGTTTATGCTTCTTCCTAATGTTATGGGCCAGAAAATTATTAATTTTCGTTTTTCTCCCCTTACCGCCTATGATATATTCGCGGACCAAGTTTTCGAAACAATACAGCCAAGTTAATTGCTACCAATTTATACCACTAAATCCAAAGTTCTTTATTCCACGAGAACCGCTTTACCTAACTTAATGGAAAACTATTTGGAAGAACTCAGGCATAGAATATTTTTACAAGGTTCCAGATTGCCACCTTCGCGGGGTGCGGCGTTGCCAATGCACCACGTCTAATCTTGAATTATTTCCCAGATACCCTGCTATCCTTCTATATACTTTTTATATTACTGTCAAAAGTGATATTGTTTTCATGATTTTTTTTGTTACTGTTAAATAAAATACCACCACCAAAAATTCGCCGTTTTTTTTACCACTTAAATTTTTGCAACGGCAAGAGTATCTACTAACATCTTTGAAAATTTGGTTTCACTTTTTGTATAATTTTCTGGTAAAATCAAATATAGCAGTTTGGCAACATTGTGCCGCTTGAAGTAATTTTTGATTGGCCGAATCACCATTGCAAATCGATCTACTGGGGGAAATAAAAATAATCATACACAATAAACCTTTCTACGATCTATGAGTAACAAAAAATCCAAAGTTTTTATTTTTGCAGAAACATTAATACTAGGTTATGTTACAAGAGAATTACTATCATTGCTTATTATGTCATCATCAAGCTTTTCTTTTCGATGGGTTTGAAGGTGCGACTGAAGATTATGTTTATACCTAAAACTTTTCGTGCAATGATCACACTCAAAAGGTTTGACATCTGAATGGATCCTCATGTGCGTTTTGAGTGCAGACTTTTGAGTAAAGGCGTGATTACATATCTAAAAACGCGAAAGTGTGTTGTAGTTTATATCAAGGGAAGGAGTTATGGGATTGGGAACATACTTCACAAGAGAAAGCCTTTTCTCCACTGTGGATTAGCAAGTGCCTCTTTCTACTAGACCTGCATGTAAAGCCTTTCCCACACTGATCACATACAAAACGTTTAATGCCTTCTTCTTTTTCTTGATGTCTACGTAAATGGGCTTTTAAAAACCTACTACTATACATGTTGTTACATATTGGACATGGTTCTTTCTTTAAGTAAATAAAGACAAGATAAGAACATATTCAAAATTATTTAAGAAAATTGAGCTACTTACACTTTGATGCACATCCTGTTTATGCGACAGGAGGGTGCCTCTGCATCTGAAAGTGCTACTACAAATTTCGCACATGTAAGGTCGCTCCCCGGTATGAATTTTTCTTACATGTATTACAAGAGATTGAGATTGTACGAAAGATTCGGGGCACAATGTACATTTAAATTTACGTTCTCCATTGTGTATTTTCCTATGTCTGTAATAGTTGCTCGGAGTCCTGCAAAACAGATTTTAGGATCTTTGTATTCCTTTTTATAAGCACAGACATAAAGGTATATGTTTATAATTTTAATTTACTGCATGTATAAAATTTTTCTTTGTTTAAAATACTAAAAACTTACGCAAAAGATATAAAACAAATATCACATGTGTGTGGCTTTTCCCCAGTGTGAATCCTCCTGTGGTACCCCAGAGCACGTCTGGTAAACTTTTTTGGGCAATATTCACATACATATGTTTTTTCCCCAGTGTGTTTGGCCATATGTATATTGTAACCGTCTGTTGTTTTGTAAATTTTATTACATTCCTTACATTCATAAATTTTTTTGACTTGGGTGGACCTTTGTTGTTTGTCTTTATTAGTTTGTTGGTCTAAATTCTGTGGTTCCAAAATATCACTAGAATTTTCAGGATTCGAATGTTCAAAGTTGCTGGAATCTTCTACACATTCTTCTTTTAGTTCTGATAATTTGTCATATACCACCTCCTTTATATTAATTTTAGTTTCAGTTGTATGTTCATCATCAGGATAAATGTAACTAGAATTTTCAGGGTTGGAATATTGAAAGTTGTTGAAATCTTTTTCACATTCATCCTTTACTTGTGATAATTTGTCACAATATACTATCTCCGTCATATTATTTTCAATTGCAGTTGTCTGTTCAACATCAGATCCAATTTGATCACTCTGTTCCTCTTTATGACATGCCAATAATGATTGCGATAATTTCTCTTTCAATGTTATATCTGAATTTATTATTGTATTTCTAAATTCCCGAAAGTCTTTTAGTTTTGCGAAACATTCCACGCACACCACTTTTGGCAACATGTCTTCTTCGAAAACCTAAAAATGTCAGTTTGTTGAATATGTGACTTTGATTGGCCGCGGAGGGATTACTTTAATAGAGGCGCAAAGAATTATTAATTCCAATACTGTTTCTTCCACAACTTTCATCGAAATACTGACTTGGTCCAGTTTGCCGATTTGAATTAAACATATTCTACAATGATCCGTCATTTTGTTTATTTATTTCCAGTAATTTTTTTTATTATATCTGCTTATTGGTTTAGACCTGTGTACCTGATCTTAAGGTTGGTCGTTAATGCTTCTTCTTAATGTTCTTAGGCGGATTTACATATATAGTGGATTGGGACATAGATACAAAAATTGTAAGTTATCTCGAAACCCTGGGAAGAACTTAAGCATAGACTATTTATACACAGTTCCACGTTGCCGCCTTCGCGGGGTGCGGCTGTTTTCATGATATTTTTGAAGCGCCAACAACTCATTGGAGTAAACTTGTTACAATTAAATAAAAAATTAACAGTGAAAATTCTCCTTTTTTTATCCCTTGAATTTTTGCCAAGCCAAAAGTACCTGGCTAACATTATCTTTGAAAATTTGATTTCATTTTTGACACTTGATGACCAATTTTTGCTGTTTTGTATAACTTCCTGGTTAAAGCGAATAAATATAGCAATTTGGCAACACTCTGCTGCTGAAAGAAAATGGAGTAAATAAGAACTAAAAGTTCAGATTTTCACGGAATTATATATTTTTACATGACAATTGTTTCGACAACACCGTGTTGTTGAAACAATTGTTATGTGAATATATATAATTTCGTAAAAATCTGAACTTTTAGTTCTTATGGATTTTCATAATGTAAAAGCCACCTCAGTTCAATAGCTGCTGAGAAACTGCAGGAGTATCGCCGTATTTTTGCAAGGATTTTTTTTTTTAATTCTATTGTTTTTGGATTGGCTGAATCGCCATTAAAAATCAACCTATTAGGGAAATCGTTTATTGCCCACAACGTTCACATTATATCAATTCACCTTTCTATGATCCATGAGTAACAAAAAAATCAAAAAAAGTATTTATTTCTTCAAAAACATGAAATATTATATTACCAAAGAAAAGAATTACTATCATTGCTTATAATGTAATCAACAAACAAACGACAGAAGATTATGTTTATATCTAAAACTTTTCATGCATGATGAAAGTCCTCTTTGAAAACCTAAAAATGTCAGTTTATTGAATGTACGACTTTGGTTGGCCGCATCGGGATTACTTTAATATAGGCTCAAAGAGTAATTAATGCCAATATTGTTTCATCGAAAACTTGATCGGCCATTTTGTTTAATTCCTGCAAATTATTTGTTACATCGGTTCTCTTCTTTAGTCTTTTATACCCGATCTTGTAAGGTCGTTTATGGTCAGTGTACGTATGTAGTCGATGTGACCATAGATACCAAAATTATTTGTTACCGTGACAATGGTTTTTTAGGAGATTTTTCTTCCCTTATAGCCTAATATTCAGTTATCATTTTCAGGATAGTCTGCTATCCTTCTATATACGTTTTATACTATGTTGTAATTTGATTTTAAACTTATTTTTGAATAGCGCCATCTAACGTGCGCAGTTTGACAGTGTAACGCCAAAGAGTAAGCAAGTAGAGATTTTTATGACATGAGGTTAGGAAGTTGGTTTTTCTTTTTGGAATCGGAATCGGCAATGGTTGAAATAAAGGTCCCCAGAAATAATTTTTGTATTATTAGCAGTTCTCGATATACCATGAAGAATCCGCAACCAATTGCTGTCAAAAGGGAAACCGTTTTCATATCTTTGAAACGTCAACCACTGATTGCTATCAGCTTGTGACAACAATTAAATAAAATACTACCACCAAAAATTGGCCGCTTTTTTTCCCTTAAATTTTTACCAAGTCGAAAGTATCTCGCCAACAATATCTTGAATACTTGATTTCATTTTTGACTCGTGATGACCAATTTTACCATTTTGTATAATTTCCTGGCTAAATCGGATAAATATATCAGTACTGCAACACTGTGCAGCTGGAAGACTAAATGCGTGAACTGCAAAACTATCGCCGTTTTTTCGCAAGAAATTAGTTCTTTTTTTTTCAGATTCTATTGTTTTAGGATTGGTCGAAACGCCATTACAGATCGACCTATCATGGAAAATGTAGATCACCCACAAAGTACACATCATATCAATTCACCTTTCTATAATCTATAAGCAACAAAAAAATTCAAAAAAGTTATTTATTTTTGCAGAAACATTAATACTAGGTTATACTACAACAGAACTACTATCATTGCTTGATATTTCATCATCAAGCTTTTCTTTTCGATGGGTTTGAAGGTGCGACTGAAGATTATGTTTATACTTAAAACTCTTCATGCAATGATCACACTCAAAAGGTGTGACATCTGAATGGATCTTCATGTGCGTTTTGAGAGAGGACTTTTGATTAAAGGCTTTATTGCATACCTAAAAACATAAAAATGGTGGTGCAGTTCACGCTATGAAAAAGTGTTATGGAATTATGTCCTTACTTCACAAGAGAAAGGCTTCTCACCACTGTGGATTAGCAGGTGCTTTTTTCTGCTAGAGCTGCATGTAAAGCCTTTCCCACACTGATCACATACAAAACGCTTAATGCCATCTTCTTTTTCTTGATGTCTACGTAAGTGCGCTTTTAAAATCCTGCTGCTGTACATGTTGTTACAAATCGGACATGGTTCTTTCTTTACGAAAATAACGGCAACATAGGAACATATTCAAAATTATTTGAGAAAATTAAGTTACTTACACTTTGGTGCACATTCTGCTTGTGTGTAAAAAGGGAACTGTCACTTCTGAAAGTGCTGCTGCAAATTTCACACATGTAAGGTCTTTCTCCGGTATGAATTCTTCTTACATGTATTTCAAGAGATTGAGATTGTATGAAAGATTCAGGGCACAAAGTACATTTAAATTTACGTTCTCCATTGTGTATTTTCCTATGTACATAATAGCTACTGGGAGTCCTGCAAAACAGATTTTAGGATCTTCGTATTTCGTTTCATAAGCAGTTGTAAGTTTAATTTACTTTTTCTCCATTTATTTTATAAATGTGTATGAAATTTTTCATTGTTGAACATATTAAAAACTTACACGAAAGACATAAAGCAAATATCACATGTGTGTGGTTTTTCCCCCGTATGAATCCTCGTATGGTACATCACAGCAGAACGTCTGGTAAACTTTTTTGGGCAATATTCACATGCATAATTTTTTTCCCCAGTGTGTTTGGTCATATGTACATTGTAACCACCTCTTGATTTGTAAATTTTATTACATTCTTTACATTCATAAATTTTTTTGACTTGGGTCGACCGTTGTTGTTTGTCTGTGTTAGTTTGTTGGTGTAAAATATGTGGTTCCAAAATACCACTAGAATTTTCAGGGTTGGAATATTCGAAGTTGCTGGAATCTACACATTCTTCTTTTAGTTCTGCTAATTTGTCATATACCACCTCCTTTATATTATTTTTAGATTCAGTTGTCTGTTTATCATCAGAATAAATATAGTTAGAATTTTCAGGGTTGGAATGTTCAAAGTTGTTGGAATCTTTTACAAATTCTTCTTTTGGTTCTAATAATTTGTCATACACCACATCCTTTATATTATTTTTAGTTTCAGTTGTATGCTCATCATCAGAATAAATATTACTAGAATTTTCAGGGTTGGAATATTCAAAGTTGTTGAAATCTTTTTCACATTCATCCTTTAGTTGTGATAATTTGTCACAATATACTATCTCTGTCATATTATTTTCAACTGCAGTTGTCTGTTGATCATCAGATCCAATTTGATCACTCTGTTCCTCCTTATGACATGCCGGGAATGATGGCAACAATTTCTCTTTCAATGTCATGTCAGAAGTTATTATTAAATTTCTAAATTCCCGAAAGTCTTTTAGTTTGGCGTAACACTCGACGCACACGAATTTTGGCAACATGTCCCCTTCGAAAATCTAAAAATGACAGTTTGTAGAATGTGCCATTTTGGCTGGCTGCATATTAATTACTTGAACAGGGGCACAAAGTGTAATTAATTCCAATACTGTTTCTTCCACAACCTTCATCGAAATACTGACTTGGTCCAGTTTCCCAATTTGAGTTAAACATATTCTACAACGATCAGTCATTTTGTTTATTTAGTTTCCAAATTTTTTTTATTAAATTGGGTTTTCTTTAATACCTGTTTACCTGTTGGTTCAGGATGTTTTTATTATACACAGACTAATCAATAACGGCGAGTGTTTTCTGTGGTCTATGCTTCTTCTTCAATACGGCTGTCAAATACCCAAATAGGGACCGTAAGATTAATTTTATAAATGTTATTATTCGCACAAATACAAAAGTAATTTTTTCACTAAAGTTACATTTTACTCGGTTGAAATAAAACGTCGTAATATAGTATTTTGTTTTATTTTAATATAGTTTACAGTAGTTTCTTTCAAGAATGAATATCGTTGGTCACACGTCCCAACCCATAGCTTTCTCTATCGCCATATTCCATTTGGAGTATCTCATGTCACGCTCGTCGTCATTAAGTTTCGGTTCCCATACTTGAGAGGGCAGTTCCATCGGAGCGTTTAAATCCCACACACCTACTGCAGCTCCGGCAACCATAGCCGCCCCCAAGCAGGTGCTTTCCGCCATTTCCGGTTTAATCACCGTGATTCCCGTTAGATCGGACTGGAGTTGCATTAACAGCGTGTTAGCTGTCATTCCTCCGTCTACCTAAAAATAACTCCAAATTTTCGAAATCCATTGTGGTTTATTCTTCTTCTTAAAAATTCTTAGGCCATTTACACAGTCAGTCTACTTTATTTATCTCCCTTTGGATAAGACCGAGAAAGGTACAATTACAAGAACTCATGAAATTCAAGACCAAAAAATTTTTTCAGCCACAAACCATTATTACTGTTTGTTGAAAGTATTTGATTATGACGTCACACTGTTACCTGAATACACTAATTTTTGAAATGACTTTGTTATACGCACAAAAGCAAGGCAGAAATCGCGGCTAACCTGTAAATGAGTCAGATGTGATTTGCAGTCCTTATTCATGGCCTCAAGAATATCCCTAGTTTGGAAGCAGACTGCGTCCAAAGTCGCCCTAACAATGTGGCTCGCCTGCGTATCTTCCGAGATTCCCACAATCACACTGCAAAAAATGTAGTCTAGATAATCTCGCTGCTGTTAAAACTTATAATTCATTTTTGATATAAATACATGAATAAAACTGCAAGACCGGTAACAAATAATAAAAAAGACTGTAATACTGTAGAACCACTAGGCGTTTCAGACATGTTTATAGGAAAAAAGTATTTTACTACAACTTACAAACAACTCCTTAAAAAAATGTCTCTTGAAATGTAAATTTATATTCAAAAAATTGAAATTCTATAGTAATCACATCGAATCATTTACGAAGTTTCTGTAAATGATATTGAACTAATTATTGATGCCTATAGACGCTGTAAAACCTTTACTTATTTTTTGCTCTTCTGTGCATTTTTCAAAAAACTCAGTCAAAGAACAGTAAAAAAAAGAGACCTCAATCCTTAGAACAAGTTAGGCTAAGTTCTGGTTCGTTGAATAAATACCTGATTCATATCGTATTTTAGCAACCATTTTGGACAAAAATGAGTTAGTCTCACCCTCTAGCCTCCTGCTGCCAGTAGGGTGCGTAGAGTCCACTAAACGCGGGTACAAAATACACTTCTCCCGATTCGATCAGACTGGCCTTTTCAGCGATATCTTGAGCATGATCGAATGACGGCAGAATATCCATGTTGTCCCTCAGCCAGTTAAGGGCTGCACCCGCAATGGCAACAGAACCTTCAAGCGCGTACACTGGAGTTTCCTTAGAACCGATTTGGTACGCCACTGTCGTAACTAGACCATGTTGGCTGTTTATTCTCGCCTTTCCCGTGTTGTAAAGCAAAAAACAGCCTGTACCATACGTCGCTTTCGCCTGTAATTGTCGTAAACCCTGAGCAATATTAATGTGGTTGCCATTATATTAAAATTTTAAATCTGCGATAGTTTTATTTTTACTAATTTTCATATTCAAACCAGATAGCGTGCACAAAATACAAAGACAAAAAGTCTTCTTCTTTACTTCTATTGGCCACAAAAAACAAAGTCATTTTGGACAGCACTTGTTACAATTATCATTGGGATTATGAACGTGTATAAAGATGTTAGAGCGATTTTCCCCTTTTTGATGTGTTGCATGAACCCAGCTTTAGTTAAAAGAAAATATAGCTACTAGATTTTAAATTTCGCTTTCAATATGGCCGCTGACAGTTCATCAATTCAAAATTTACAGTTTTGTGTATTTACGAGTTATTTATTACATATTTATATTTGAAATTTAATGTTAAAAACCTTGCCTGTCCTCTCTCTAAACACTGTTGCCCCACCAACGCAGCTTGTTGATCACCTAGGCAACCGGTTAAAGGTATTCCTCTCAATGGTCCCACTTTAATGTCGCCGTAAATTTCCGAACTCGATTTGATCTTGGGTAGGATATTGGGAGACACCCCGAAAAAATTTAACAAAACGGGATCCCATTTTAATGTGTCTATGTTCATCAACATTGTCCTTGATGCGTTTGAAACATCGGTTATATGTATTCCTCCATTTTTACCTCCTATCGGGGATAAAAATTTACGTAAGGGACGCGTGTCATCCAACTTTTCCTTATTTTTAGAGCATATTTTTAAACGTTAGTTTACAAGTTGTTAAAAGTTTCTCACTCATTTTTCATTATGACCTTGAGGAATTGTCAAATGGTAAATTCGTGAATAAGTTTACATTTCGACTTTAGGAATAGGGACATTTTGGAACATTTTCACTACTTTGGTACAGCTGTTGTAGTAATATATAACTATATAACAGTTTAGGGGTTATGCAAGTCACAAATGCATATTGGTTAGTTAATAATAGGAAAGGATCTAAGAAAAATCGACTGTTTTATCATTTCCAATTCGAAAATCACTGCCAGTTGCTACCAGGAAATGACATTTAGCTAATGCGCAGGCGCCACAAATGAGTATCCCAAAAGTTCCTAACAAGCAGTTGGAAAAATAATGATACCAAATATAAGCGAAGCTGCCTCCTTGGCCTTAATATGTTAAGTATATAAACAGGACTACAGCACTTTACCAGTCAAATTCCACATTATCCATGAATCTACAGTTCCAAACAGACAATCATTAGCGTCGATCGCTTTTTGTACCTTGGGAACATTCTCTTGTAACCATCTCAATTTAACCGCGCTGAAATATGGCGAAAGCGGTAGGCCACACAGTGGCTTCAGGTAATTTTTGTTGTGCGTTTTATTAGGGACTTTTTCCAACAGGTGATCAACGGTGGAAGAAGTTCGAACATCCAACCAAACTATGGAATTGTAGAGCGGCATGCCTGTCGATTTTTCCCAAACAATCGTTGATTCTCTCTGATTCGTTACTCCTGTATAAAATATGTTATCTAATGTATACATGTGGTTAAAAAGAATAACTATCTACTAGAGATAAAGTCGAGCACAAAAAGATTTTTATGAAAACAAACCTATGGCAGCAATATCACTGACACTACCACCGAGTGAGATTAGTTTATCTATAGTGTGTTCGATGCAGGTGTTGACGACGTCTAGGATTTCTATGGGGTCTTGCTCCACCCATCCTTCTTGAGGGTATATCTGAGAGAGTGATTGCTGATAGGAGGCCACTATTTCTGTCGTGCCAGCCTTGAATAGTATAAACCTAGCACTAGATGTGCCTTCGTCGATAGCGCCCACCAGAGCCCCCATAACACTTCCTAATCACTTTATCGTTGATCCGCCTAACCTCACAAGCTTACTGCGTCTTTTACATAATCCGGGATTGTTCGGTTTATCTACAAATAGATCCGTCATCTGACCGCTCGATTGTTAAAAACTAATCTCGCTTTATAGATTTATGGTAATTGTTGTTTTGTGCTGATTAGGCCGACACACCAAATAGCCACAAACTGCACTACGAGTTTAAAGTTCACCGGGGTTACTTATAAGGTTAATTATTATACGAGGGTAGAGGAAAAACATCATTTTCAGTTTGTTAAGTTGTTTAATAACAATGTTGTTGTTTTTTACATGTGACTGAATATAATTGTATTGTAACATATAACAATAACAAAATGCATTTTATTTATTATCATATCTTCGTCAAACAACTTCCAGGTGGGAGAGGTGAATGACAAATTTTTTAGTCCTACGTTGTGATTCTGTAATATATATACATAATACAGATTCTCAAAAATCATCGCCCAAACTAATTATAGCTGTTTTTATTAGCATCACATCGCAATATTTACTAAAACAAACTTACAATTCCTGTACCGCACTATGTACAAAGCGATAAGAAAAAAGATAAACATCTTACGGTGTCTTCGGCCTAATTAGTTATTTCAGTAAAATTAATGAGCACGGCACTTTATCATCAAAGAATATGGGAAAGTATACATTTTTCATTATCGGCTTAATAAGTAAGTAAAATGGGCATCGACCTAAAGTCAAGTTTTTCAAAAACCGTTTCCAGTTATTTTCGCAATTTTGCAAGAATGCGAATGCAGAAGAAAAATATTGAAAGGGCGGAATACCATCAATCGGAAGTATATGAGTAAGTTTCTTGGTACTCTTATGATGAAGTTCTATAAGGTACACGACTACTTTTTCTCAATTTTAGGGGCTAGTGCCGTTCCTGGATGGGTTACAGTTGTATTAATCGCATTGGGGCAAATAACTTTCGGCGGATTACTTTACCTACTCTTAAAAGTGTTGATATTGAACAAACCGTTAAAGCCACGTTATATGCAACCTCCAGAAACGTTTGAAGCATCCCCTTAAATTTAGAAAACGACTTTCAATTTTTTGTTAATAGTTATATTAATTAAAATTTTGCAACTCGTACAGAAGTTTTCATAACGAATAAAGGTGTACCATTTTGTTGAGTCAGAGCTGTGACACATATTATTTTCTAATAAAAATTTTATCGTAAATAATGATAGTTTATCTCGAAGATAGCCGGAGATAAGCCTCGATGCTGTCTCAATAAGCTTACCCGATTTGTTATGTTGTACAATTTTAACAAAGCCTGGTAAAGAATACCGCCAAGTAAAAGTAATTAAAAATGGGAGTATTCGGTAGGCGAGCATTGATTTACATAGCCATTGCGACAGGTACGTATCAAACATAGTTAAGACCGTTTTAAAGTTAAACTCAAGATAAGCAATAATTGTAACAACTAATACAATCAATAATTTTGTAGTTGTTTTGACGATCTGCACTGATGAGGTGGAGGGTAGAAGAAAAATCTTGCAGGGCCGACGGGCCATGACCAGGGATTATTTGCGTCTGTATATTTATATATTTTCTAATAAGTTAAGTATTGTTTGGCTTTTTAATGTTAATCGATGATTAATTACAGGACCTATGGGAATTCCGGCATGGGTCGTAGTACTTCTTGTCGGGATCGGTGAGCTCATTGTTGGCGGAGTGATCTACCTAATAATGAAAAAAGTAATAATCGACCCTCCGATAACGTCATCTTACAGCCTCGCTCCGCAATCCGACCCATAGCAAATTAACTTCATTATTTTTGTTTTTTTAGTTTAAAATATAGTTATTAAATTCGTGCTCCGTAATTTTTTCACATTTTTGTTTCATCTTGAGGTTTACGATAATTTTACGTTTACGTAAAAATATTGGTTCTTCTGACTACCACATGCCTGTCAACCACGATTCTGTGGTTTATATTTAGAGCATGCGCGTTTTTATAGTCTGTTGCCATTTTGGTGGTTGGCGCTTCCAGCAAAAGCCGCGTTCTTTATAGACGCTATTGAAGATAACGCTTCTATTGGAAATAAGGGAGAATTTGAGACGATCCCTTTTATCTTTTTAGTTACTGCGTAAGTAGCCGTTCTTGCATAAATGAAAAAATTCAAAACACTTTCGAAAATATAGCTTACAATTTTGTTGTCGGGCAAGGAGACATTTTCGTTATCGAAGATAATGTTTTAGATTGAATTGAGAAAAATGAGTAGAAGGCAGAGTTCGGAAAACGAGGACGACCCAGAACCCTTTCAAAGTTCAGGGGATGAATGGGACTTGGAGGTAATTTTTTTTGAAATATTAAGTTTTTGGCGACAAATTCACAATTGGATTTAATTAAGTGGAGCTCTTAACGCGTCTTTAAATACGAAGGTAGATTATTTCTATTTACTGTGTAAAGTTTATATTTAGCAAGCCAAATTGGAAGAGTCGGGTAGGAGAAAGTCATCACGTTTAACTAAGAAACCAAAAAGGGCAGTGGTTGATGAGAGTGTTAGTGAGAGTGAAGAGAGTGAGGAGATTTCTTCTGACGAAGAGCAAAATGAAAAGAAAAGAAAAGTCAAAAAGCAAATTAAAGCCAGCCCAAAAAAGCAAAAAGTTATAAACGAGAGTGACCAATCTAATGATAAAACTGAGGATAACAACTCTAAGAAAGAATCAGAGATAGCCTCTACAGACTCTGACTCATCGAGAAACGCAACCGCTGTTTCTAATGTAGGACGGGCGGTTCCTCGAAAATTTGTCCCAAAGACCATTTTTTCTGAAGATTATGCGGTTAGTTTTAAGTTAATGTGAGGTCACTATTAAAAATATTTTTTTTTAGACGGGCTCTTTTGTAATTCTCAAGAAAGACGCTCAGGTGGGTGACCCCAGCAAGCATCCTTGCATCTGGAGAATAGATGGCAAAGCGTTACTGCAGAAGTATGAGGCCTTTGATGAAGATGATAAAGTCAGGCATAAAAATACATCAATTGTAAGTGCCCTTGGGTGAGTTTTCATTTCTACAAAGGCTATAATTTATTTATTTCAGTATACCGGATGGTCTCCTTTAGATAAAGACCTTTACGCTCCCATCACAGTGGATGTGGTTCGTCACAACAATAATAACCTAACTGTCGAAGTACACTGGGACAAAGTGAATATCATAAATGCAGATAGTGACTAAGCCGATTAATAATGTTTGAATTATGAGTACAGACTATTACAATTTTTTTTAGAATTGTTTTGTGAAGCATTAATGTCTTACCACAATTTAAGGTTCACTTATTTGATAAAATAATGTTTTAATAGATTTATTATGTGAAACTCTTTTTTTGTTTTAATGAAATAAATGTTACTTTCATAATTTCAACTTATTTTTATGCGACGAAACTTGCCTCAAAGCTATTTGCCCTAAATTGCATATAAGGCATTAAACTTTATTTAGATGACGTCACTAAACTTGCAGATAGTCGCCGAACACATGGAACACGGAGCTACGTAAACTGACCAAAACTGTTCTAATACTTCTGAAAGTTTTTTCTATGTTAATGAAGCACGTTTTTAATATTTAGTCCTAGTATCTGTGAAAGTAAGTTCGCCGGCTTGAATAGTAAAAATGAATAACGTTTTCAAGACTGCAATTAAATTTTATGGAATCAGAGCCCTTCTCACGTCTGGTAGAAATGCCAGATGGAATCCGGTTCAAACACAACTCACGAGAAACTTGTGGTATTTAAATGACCAAAGTAAATTGCACTGTTCCCATAACGTTTTATGCGGATGCGGCTGTCGCAGTAGTAGAAATGCACACACTAAAGGTAGCTTAATTAATTTTTTGGTCGCGATATTTTTTATACGTTGGTTTCAGCGGAGCGGGAATTAGTCGAATTCTTGACCGAAGAGGTGGTGGCTGAAAGGAAGGCGCAGAAACTCAAAACCATTCCAACCGAGCTCGATGGTTTCAAAGCGGGCTTAAACGGAGCCGAAGTTACTTTAACCAAGCAAGCAGATGGTGAAACGTAAGTGTAACTATTAAACCCGACCAGAAATTAGTAATTATCTTTGTTCCGTAAAATGTTTCCAGAGTAAAAATTAGTTTCAATGTGAACCACTCAGTTGATACAGATGAACCAGAAGTACATGAGAATTCAGATAAGGCAGATGTGGGTGAATTGAAATCCAAACCCGCTTTCAAAATAGATCTGGTCAGAGGTGATACAACTGTCAGCGTGTTGTGTTCATTCGTGAATGCAGGTGAAGAAGATGGATACAGTAAGATTACTATTTCGTTTTCACTTTTATGATTTACTGACGAATTTATCCAATAAAACGGTCTTTACTTTGCAGACGACTCATTCGGTATAGACGAAATCAGTATTTACAATGGGGAGTGGAACGAACACGTTTATTCAGTATCTGGGGAAGTCTTGGATTCGGTAAGTTTTCTTCCCCGCCAAGATGAATTTTACATTGAGAATCTAATGTTTCAGTATTTATATGACCTGATTTTGAATTATTTGGAGGAAAAAGGAATCACAAATGAGTTTGTAGAAAAATTATCCAACTACAGCACAGCTTATGAACATTCTGCTTACATCAGCCTTCTCGAAAGCTTATCCAAATTCGTTTCAGGAAAGTAGATGTGTTGTGTTAAAGAATTCTATGTTTAAGTAACTTTATTTGTAATAAAACACCGTTTCCCTTTCTAATAGAGTTTTTTCTTATTTAAACAAATATTTACAGGAATATAAAAATTAAAATATAGGGTGGCTAACAATAAGGCTAGTCGAGAGGTCTCTAGAAAACAAAATGTTGGAAAACGTCACTCCCGTGTGACGTTATAAGACAGTAAACAAATGGCTAACCAGAGAATAATAATAAATGGAGCAATATGCTCTCCAATAGCCAAATAAATATTACACTTATTTGTATAAATAAAGCTTTTTCGGCAATATGCTCCCCAATAGCCAAATAAATATTACACTTATATAAAAAAGGGTTTTTTTGTTTCCTAAGTGGGAGAGGTATAGTTAATCTTAAATTAATAAATCACATATCTCCTCTAACAGGTGGTTTGTGAGCGAGATAGAGCGTCACTATACTTCCCAGAGCGCTCACCAAAAATATTACATCAAACCATCTGTGATAAAAGTTAAATTGCAATGCGCCCAGTACTTGAGTGATGATGATCCTGTATTGAGCGGGCATATTCATTCGGAGCAGTAGCACGGACGATACAAAATACATCCCCATAATTTGAGCCAGAACTAGTACTATAATGTTCGAGCTCTTACTTGACGACATCCGGTTGAAAAACTTTGAAAAAAAGTGCACAATTAAGTGGTACCAAAGTTTAAAGTAAAGGAGGCCCGCAATTGATAAAATAGAGCCTCCTTTAGACATAACCTCAACTTTTTATACCTTGGTTAAAGTGAGAAGCAGACCCCTTATGGACGTCACAACTATACATCCTACCAAATAAAAAGAAATCTGTTGCGACCAAAAGTCCACATCGAAATCAAATCCCATCCAGTGAATTGCTATTTCTATGCCTCTTGTGACGGGGTCTTTTTTACCGACTCGATCGAAAATTATATTTATAGTGCACTGCAAATCGAAACATTATTTTCCCGGTTTTAATCCAAAAACCAAACGTACTATAAATATTTTCCAGAGGCAGTAGCCCGAAAATATATATCCCAAAAAATTAAAATAAATCCCCTTCCATGTTTTGGACCATTCGATGCGTTCGAGCATGTTTCGGTTTTCATGCGCCTCGAGAAAAAGTTGACGGCTAACTTCTTCCAATCCGTCGATTTCCAACCTAAGTTGGGTAATATCTAAAAAGGTTTTCCAGGAGCGTTTCTCAAAAAATTTACTAAACTATCGTTCCTACCACCCGACTTACTTTCATTACTTTTGGTCAGCCCCATAGACGAAATCATACTCCATATGCCTTTCCGTCCACCAGAATCATTATTTTTTTCTTGCAATTGTCTTTTGGTGATTGCAATCCTTTTTTTTCTAAATACAATCATATCCATTGTTTGCAGTAATCGTTTCTCTATATTTAATACATCACTTTCGGATACCTCTCTTAAAGGATGATATCATTTACTAACTTCAACTAACCAAAAACTATTTTTAATTATTACGTTAACACTATAAGAGTAATCATTACTTAATAATCAAAGAACTGACTTTGTGCTCAATGATTATCATCCTTACCTCATGAAATACTTCATTGATGTGTAAGGGTAATTCACAGCGCCGAAACCAGACAAAAGAGCCATGACAGTAACCCCAATTACTCCAATACGCGAAACTAGGGGTTCAATAGAAAAAAACCCTTGATTGGGATTATTTATTGGGAACGAATCTCCTATTTTCCAAAATACTGTCAAGAAAATCAGCCAAGTCAGTATCGTTAGGTGTTTAATATAATCTTGTCTTACTAAAACATGTAACAACATAACTTTCTAGGTTCCCAAATTATTACAATTTTTTTTTCAATTTTCCAAGTCAAACTTACCATATCTTATATTACTGATGCAGTAATATCCAATATAAAAAGGATTTAAAACAATAACAACGAAGAGTAGTAAATACAGCATTAGATACCAGTAAAAATATCTGGAACTGAATGAAGTACACAATTTTTTTAGACGATTTGTTGGAATTAAATATTTATTCACTTGCCTCGACTCCAAAAAACCTAGTATTTCAAAAATGATAAGTTCGAACATTGTGCAGGATAGGGTAAGCGTAATACTAAAAATTAGTTGAACCATTACATGTCTTACTTCGTAATCTTTAAATAACTGTTTCATAAAAAATATCCAAGCACCCGCGAAGAATAGCACCTAAGAATTAAGAATACAGTTGGAATCAACTTTATAACGACCGTAATGCACTTGCCTGTGAGGAAAATACTACCGTACTGTCGAACAAAAATGTCATTGTTGGGTATGTGTGCGTTCATCCCCTTAAAAGATTTTTATTAAGTTAAAATTTATTTTGTTTATTAAACGAGGTTATATCGGTGCGGTACACGTCATTGTGTCAGGTTATGTAAACATCTTCCTCTTCTTCATCTTTCAACTAGGCTGAATTTGCAAAGATTAATTGCGTTGCCACGGCTTATTAGTGGTCGGTTAATTTAGGTAGTAAAATAAGGATATAATTTAAATGAATCGGGCTTTGCTATTTAACAACAAATGTGAAGGACATATGAAAAAAATGTGGGAAATTTAAGCCACCTTTTACATAAATTAAAGGGATATATTTAGTTTCATTAAATATATAACATGGATTTGAAGTACGATTGTCTTTTAAAAATATTGCAACGGAAATATAAACTAACTTAATATAAATATAATATGTACCTAGTTGTATACATAACAATTTATATCTTTTTACATATCACAGCTTAAAATTATGCACAACATTAATATAATATGAATTTACATCTATAATCATTTTATAACCACATTTAAGACAACAAATTCTTTAACTTATACTTACTGGTCCACTATTTTCGTTTGGGTCTCGATACCGAACGTGAATAATTTAAATAAATATTTATAAATAGTTTCAATCGGTAAATAAGAGCAGCAAATAAATTTTCAAACAATGAAATCGGCAGTAAAACATTAATATTAAACAAATTGGTCGAATGTTCTCTATTTTGACATGGCCAGTTTTAGAAACTCTTCTCTGGTCCTCTGATCGTCTCTAAAAACGCCCAGCATTGTGGAAGTCACCGTTTTGCTGTTAATTTTTTGAACTCCTCTCATCACCATGCACATGTGCCTAAAACATGTGTTGGAAAAAAAAAGCTTAAGATTAGTTGCGTGACCAAAAGCTGGGATACTTACGTGCCCTCTATGATAACTGCTACTCCATTGGGTTGGACAGCTTTTAACACAGCCACAGCGATCTGTTTAGTTAATCTCTCTTGAACTTGAAGTCTCCTGTATAAGAGAAAAAGTATACGATTAACCAGTTATTAATTATGCTTATAATAATTCTAACAAAATAAGACAATCAGTGTTTACAGAAAATTTCAGTTATAGTGGAGTTTATAAATTCATGGTGGCAATCAAATTAACACGACGATGATGCTGGTTGCATAACCATTAAATATAAGGGAATAATGTAATGTTTTATGCGTAGAACTTACCGCGAATATATTTCAACTATTCTAGCTAGCTTGCTCAGACCGAGAACTTTTCCCGACGGCAAGTACCCTATCGATACTTTCCCATAGAATGGTACCAAATGATGCTCGCACATTGAAAACATTTCAATATCTTTTACTACCACCATTTCGTCGTGGTCTTCGTCGAATATGGCGTCGTTTAATACTTCTGAAACAGCAAGAAAATATTCGTGAACTACTAAGAATGTTTTGTTTGTGAGAAATCCGAAACTTGTTTTTGATAGATGTATAATGAGTTGCATAAACCAACCTTGATATGCAGTAAACGTAATCTGATTTAAACTAACCAAAAATCATAACTGAGCTATGTAATTAGGCCAAACGTGATTCAATGTTATCCTTAGTGTTATTTGATATTTTTGAAACACTGTGTTGTGTGTATATTGGATTGGATTGGACAGGTGACGTTTTTATTCTACCAAATATCGATTCGACCTGCAAACATTGTAGCTGCAGTGGAATTTTTACAAAAAATCGGGAAACCTTAAAAACTCCCTCACTTGCGAATCGTAAAAACGTACAAATGCCGCCCTGTAAGTGACAAAAAAAAGGAAACCAAAGAAACGCAAGATATTAACGTTTCCTTGCGAGAAGACGGGCTTCAAAGAAAAACCGTTAATGGATTGAAGATCTCTCGTTTTAACTGCGTCATCCCACTTCATACATTTATTCGACCGAATTATACGCTGGCTGTCCATTTCCTTTACTTTTATGGAGCTTTTCCCGACACGGATAAAGTATTACCCGCTAAAAGCGTCTGTGTGGCACGTGAAAAGGGGCAAAAGGATGGGATTCTTCTTCCTCCATTTTCCAGATTTAGCCGATCGTCGGGATTGGCTTCGCGCGATATGCCTGCTGTTTTAATTCTTTAAAATATTTTTGAGGAAAAGATTCGTAGACTATACAGGGTGTTACTGAAATGACATCGTATAATTTAATGGTTGACTAGATTAGGGACAAACTCTTTTCTTCATTTGCTTGCTAAAATGTTTTTAGTTGATCTGTATAGTTTTTTTCTTAATTTTATTTAACACGTTATCTTCGAAAAAGGTTGTTACTTATTAAGTAATCATTAATTGTAAATAATAATACTATATATTAATAAACAATTTTGTTCTAGTCCATTCCGTTTTGCTAAAGTTTACCCTGAGGAAGTCGATAATACTTTGATTAGTATTAAAACTAACGCTCATGGCTCAGACAATATTGATATAAAAATGATTCTTTTGACCACTCCGTATTTAGTCGATCATATCACTTTCCTTGTTAACAAGCTAAAGTTATACCCGTTCCAAAGAAAGAGTGTCCAAGTGGCATTAACGATTTTAGAACCATCAGTTTGTTGTCAACGATCTAAAATATTATTGAAAAAATTGCAGCTAAACAACTTCATCAGTTCCTATGCGTCAACAAAATCCTCCCAGACACTCAATCTGGTTTTCGGCGTCTTCACAGCACTACTTCCAAATTAAACTCTTGTGTCATACTCTTGGATCATTGCCTTCTCCTAGCTTTCATTTTTTCAAAATTTTCTTGGCCAGAGATACCAAAGGGTAGTTATAGGAAATACCCATTCAGATGCCATTGATTTCGAGAGGGTTGTTCGCCAGGGGAGTATTCTGATATCTATTTTGTTCTCAGTTTATACAGCTGACTTCTCTACTTTTCTTAAATTTTGTAAAACTCATCAATACGCCGATGATACTCAGTTATATTTATCTTTTGTTGCTAGTGAATCTTTAAATGCCGCTACTAAAATAAATTTAGATCTGATTTTGGAGGATCACATCCTCTTTTTGAATACTAACAAAATGCGGATGTTATTATTTGTAAAAAAAAGGAAGATATTGCAAAAACGCCTCTTTTAAGATTACGTTAAATGATAAGATTATCTCTTTCTTCAGACTGGTGTAAAAATTTAGGATTACGGTTTGACGGTGACGCGGTTTTCTGAGCATGTTGGCTCGGTGTTACAAAAATCCTTCTACTCAAACTCTGTTATCCCGTGTCGTCTATTGTCCAGCTATACTTAATCGAGATAAGAAGACTCCTGCACTTCAGAATGCTTGTTTTCGTTTTAGTTACAATCTTAGAAACTACGACAAAATATCGCAGTGCCTCTCTGATACGGGTGGGCTCAAGCTAGAAGACTGGACTGTACTGGACTGGAAGCTGGAAGTTCAATTAACCACCCATAATCGCGACACAGATTCTTTATGATATTCGGTAACTTTCCAGAGATCTTTGAAATACTTTATGCTACAACGTCCCTCCCCACAATAGAGTTCTCCAAAAAAGCGTTAATATTGTTTATTAGGCCCGCCAGTGTCTAGCAAAAACGTATGAGTTTATGATATGCGATATATATACGGGTGTGTATTTTGTTGACAATTATGGTATTGCTGCTGTTGTTCTTGTGGTTACATGTGGTAATATTTTGATTCTCAATAGAGACAGCCTACTATTATTTCCAGTTCAGTAATAGTTGCTGCATAATAAAAGTTTTTTCCTAATATCGCATAGAAATTTGGTTCTTGTGCATAATTTATTTCGTATGACTAGTTTCCTGGCAGTCCATCGCGCTAACTTCTAAACCAAAAACCGTTTTCCCTTTCCACTAAGGTTAAGTTTGACAAGGACTCGAATTTCTTTTAATTTAATGAAATTTTCCTCACTACATCAGGATTTATCGTCATACAGCAGTCATCAATAGAGAACATAGAACATCAGAAGAAATATTGACCAAAAAAAAAAAAGTGCGGCAAGAGGGTGACTTATATCAAGTGCTTTTTAACCTACATTAGCTTCAGAGAGGAATTTGACACAGACAACGACCAACACAATTTTTCGCAAACACTAATTCAAGGGACCACTGAAATCTATTCATATCTAGGAGCTAAGATTAATTCTGTATGAGCCTGGAATAAGCAGTTTTTTCGAGAATTGAACCAGCGAGGAAAACTCTCATCAGAGAAAACATTTTTACGGATCTTACCATAGAACGATAGAACGATAAGGTGCTGTTTATAAAACTTCTGGATTCCTCCTGCGTCGGTTTTTGCTTAGCCGAAATTGCTCTGAAGAAGTCAACAGGATGATTGGCAAAACGTCAGCACTTACTTCGGCTTATAGCAGAGGGAAAATTACAGGGAAAAAAATCAGCCAATGTCCGCACTAATTACAAAACTGGTAATAGTTTTTTTGGGTAAGTAAAGCATATATCAGACATCGTATAAATAAACTATTCTTAAATAATAACGAACATATTTAGTTGGATTTTGTCGATTGTACGATTTGATAATGTATACCCTGAAAAAAAAAACTATGAATATTTAAAAACTCTTCCCCCGTGGCAGCAAATAAAAAAATATAGGATAAATGTAATAATAATAATTAGGATAATCTGGTGGTCAGAAACAAAAATCTATCTGTCTAAAGTGAAATAATTAGCCTACCCAACATCACTCAAATCAAAAGGATTAACTGTCAAATAATCGAAGAAATTATATTTATTATATAAGGTGATAGAGTTTGCACAGTATTAATCCCTTGTTTATCGTCAGGTTAAAAGAATTGATTCCTTTATACAAGTGGTTTAAAACTTCCTTTGGTGAATTAAGCATGTGTTCACTTAAGTAAGTTTTCTCAAATACAGGTTAAGTAAGCATAGAATTGAATTTTATAATATTATGCCAAATGTTTGCATATTATCCATGTTTGTAAAGTTTTATAAAACATTTACGTTGATAATCCCACCTGACCCGGTCTATACTTTTATTTTTCATTGGATCTTACACGTTTCATACAGACGACCGAGAAAAGTAGCAAATTCGCAACCCGAAGGAAATAGAAGAAAGGAAGAAAAAAAAATTGAAGACGTGAGAAAAAAAAAAGAATTTTCCAGTAGATGTACCAAGACTTGGCTATGGCAACACAGGGAGGTGCTTTTTTCAGAACCACAAGTATTTATAAGATTTTGCTACATGGTGCCAATAGGAATGCACTCTCAGAAGAAGCGATGCAATCTTGAAATACACACACGTGAAAAATGTTGATGTATTCCTCCGATCCGGTAATTTTTTCTGCCGCAAGAGAAAAATCAAAGCAACGTTTGAAAATTCCACAACATGTTAATCCGTATTGGAGGTCTGACAGTGAGTGAATATAATTAAGTACCTATATGTGTAATATTAATTTCCTCAAATTATGTTTAATTATTAATTTTGTATTGTATATCTCGTAGGGACCTCTTTTAATTGGTCCTGCGATAGGTGAATCATTAATATTGTTCTCTAGTGAATATTTAATAACATATTTAATTTATTTTATTAAGATATGTACACAAAAATATTGTAATATTTTTGCTACATTAAAGTATTTTGATGAAAAAAAACATTTGTAAACAATTTTTCGTAACATGTGTGATAATAAAAAATAGTGAAAGCAGGGTTGCATTTTTGAAAAACTCTTTAATGCACGATATAATTCTACACTTTGTGAAAGTATACCAAATGCATCGACAATTGGCTGCGCAGTAAGCGGATTAACCCAGACAATGGTCTAAAATGTGAGTTGTCAAAAATTACAAAACAAAATTGCCTCCTTACTATTGAATGTTTAATGTAGACGAAAGATCATTTTCTGGTAGTAACAGTTCCAATTTTGACTCTGATGATGAAGATGTTTGATAGTAAATACAAACTAAATATGGTTTACTTGTATATTTACTCTTGGCAAATTATCTTTTATACCAGACCAACATATTACTCCGGTTATTTCTTTAAAGCATTTCGCTGAATTCCATTTAACCCATAAAACAATAAGTTTTACTTATTTATATACAGTGCTAATGGATTCGGTCGCCATAATTCTGGGACTTTTATTCCTTCTCCTGCACATTAATATTTGTTCATCAATAAATTCATCACACCTCGCTCTCACTCACGGCCGTGTCAAAAGCACAAAAGCGCTTTCGCGATGACGCATTACACAGAATTAAGTGCTTTTTTATTCTGTCCCATCAAATTTATAGGCTAAGCACCGGCCGCCCGATAATAATTTTTAAATTTAATTTATTATTCTTTCTCGTTTTACGTGGTCATATAGACGGTACTATACCGGTTTGTTTAATTTTATACGAGGTGTTTC